TAAGTTGAAATTGATCTTTACAAAGTAATGACTGTTGCTTCAGCAGTAAAATATATTCAATGCAGAACTTTTCTGTGATTTCTAATAATAAATATCTTGATAATTACATTTTAAATTAAGTTTCTCTTAGGATAAAGTTTCTTGCAATTTAATTAAAAAGTTTTTTTTATTTATTTATACTTTTATAGACTTAGATTTCTATCAATTTCCAATTTCAAATTTTATTAATGCCAGTATTAAGTAATTCACGCTAATGAGATCGATTAAACTTTTATTAGAAAAGAATCGATTGTAGGTTTTACGCGTATAATAAAAATTTATCGTACGTCTCTTCTTTTTTTCAAGAAGTTCTCCTAAATGAAATATTCTTACTAATCCACTTGATATTAGCAAAATGATGCAAAGCTTGATTAGGCGATGTTTTAGAGATCAGAAAAATACGTATCGTCCTAACATTTCTAGTCATTTTTTAACGTAAGCTCGTAATTTTTACGTTCGAATCTTAAAATCGAAAGGCAAAATTTGCACGTCGAGAATTTGTATGTCGCAAAAATCGATGTCAATCAGGCATTTCTATATTTCAGTCTAATGTAAAAAAGTATTTTTTTATATAAGCATTTTTTCATTTATATAAATAATAAGAAAAATTTATTATATTTCGCATAGAAAAGAGAACTGTCAAAAATATGAAATTTTTGAGCGAATTATTTTTGAACATATTATATATTATTCCATTTTTTAACATTATTATTTGAAAATGAAATATTCATACAATAATATGAAATATAATAAGAAATATACGAAAACGCTGAAAATCCGATGCATTCATATTTTAAGCGAAAAATAATTAATAGATTTACAACTTATTGTTGGAGAACTTTATTTCTCTCTTTCTTTCCACCCACTCAACTTTCACCTTTCTTTCTTCAAGAAAGCTTTAAATTTTATATCTTTTAATTGCTCAGCTTGTAAATTCTTTATTAATTATATCGCAGAATTGTCACGACGCACTTGTTAGTACATCGAAGTTCACAGAGACAGTTGTCTCGTGATTTTCCAACAGATCTATTGAGCAACCTGACGGTACACAACTTCCGGAAACCCCGACGCTTCTTTCATACTACCCTTCATATTTCACCGATGCCCTCAAGATCGTCGCCGCCTACTTCCGGTAAACTCCGACGATCGTGCCGGGCTGTACCTTAAGCGGAACTTAATATAGCCGATTTATTGTCATCCCGAGAGGTCGTTTACAGCAAGTTTGCAGCGCGTGCTTGGCGTGCGATTCACGTTTTGTCTTTTGACCAATGGGAATCACGTCTATCGAGTTGCGAAGATATTTCTCCTATTGTTTGGATCGTTGTTGGAATCAAAATTTTCAGTCTACTAGATTGGTTTTGATACGTATAGGTTTCAAAGTTATTTGGAAAATACAATATTAATCACACTCGCACATATTAATAATAATTAAAAATTCTTATATCTATTTCAAGTATTTATTTTATAATATAATATTAAATTGTATAAAAAATTTATTAATCAAAAACTTCGTAATAATACAATCGTTAAATAGACACTCTGAATAAAAAAATAAGTGACAACGTGATATTATCGAAAATTGCAAAAACTTCGTAATAATATAAACGCTAAATAGACACTCTGAATAAAAGAATAAATGCCAACGCGATATAATCGAAAATCGTAAAAATTAGTCTTCTTCATTTGCGATATTTATATTATCAAAAACGATAACGAAAAAAATAATTTGAAAATGAAGAAGAGAAAATAAAGGAGATATTTGTGTATGTGTTATGTAGAGAAAAGGAAAAAGGAAAAGAGTTTATAAAATGCTAAAATATATGACTAAAAAAATAATAAGTAGCGAGAAAGAAATATAGTTCGTGTAAGAAAAAAAACAGCAGAAGTCTTCTTTCCATTAAAATTGAAGAATACAGAGGAATAAAACAGAAAAAGACAGAAAGAAAGAGATAGGAAAAAGAAATACATATAGAAGAAATTTTTTAAGCGTAAGATGTTTGTAATGAGAAAATTAATTTATTTCATCAATTATATTTTTGTATTCGTGCAACAAAAAGATACCAACATAAAAGAGAAACAAAGTAAACAAAAGTAAATAAGGGAAAAAGAAATTAATAATACTTAATCATATAGAAAACCTAAAATTATTATTATATCGACTTATTTGATAAATTAGATGACAATTAATCATAATCAAAGCACTTTTATTATGTATTTAAAGATATAATCATTAATCGATATTCTTTAATATCTAAAAACTAATCAAATATGAAAATAATAAGGCCAAAGGCTTTTTATTATTTTTATATTTGATTTTTATCGTTGAGCCTAAAAACTAATATTAAGAAATATAAAAAAGAGAAAAGAATTATCTGAATAATTTTTCATAATTATTTGTAGTAAATGTCTTTCATATTGTGGAGTCAAAGTAATAATTATGAATAGAATAGACGTAATATTTTTCAATCTAACAGTTAATGGTCTTTTACTATACAATCATTAGAAGGAAAGACCAGCTGTTTAATAATCATAATGAAAAACCTTGAGATAATGATTGATCTTGTCATTGGAAGTATTAGATAATTTCAATTTTTAATCGACCATCATGATTTTGAATCTTTTCATATGTATTATTTTCATACGTGGACTTTTAATTTTTTCCTGCCATTGTTGCTGTCAATTTACAAACTAACAAGTCTATAATCGGTAAATTATAAAGTTCGTCGTTTGATTTCCACTGATTCATGTGCCTGTGAAGTTGGCACAACAATTTACGAATTTCAAAGAAGTACTAAGAGTTCTGATAGCACTTCTCATAGTTTTGCAGTTCTTGATAAAAATTAAAAAGACTTCCGCATTTCTTATATTAAAAAATCGAAATCGAAAAAATGTCGTGCTAACTTTGCGAATCTAGCATGACAATCTTCCCTTTAAAGTATCAAAATTGAATATCATTATTTTCAGCAAGAATTCTCGAGTTCTGTTCAAATTCAGCCTATATATGCAATTTCATATTGATATTCCAACACTTAATAATTTTTAATTAATTTTTAATGTTCTCGACCCGCACGACTTACAATTAGTGAAAATGTGCCGTGTGGATAATTTTTGTTCTAACGGTAATTGTCGACAGTTCTGTAAAAATTCTAGCCTTTGTTAGAAACATTTTTACGCAAAATTCCGTTTATTATCTTTTAAACAACTTTTTCATAATTAGCCAGCACGACACTCTACCTCTAAAGTACGAAAACGCGTTGAAAATTATTATTTTTGATAATATTTCTTGATAGTTCAGTTCAAGTTCAGCATATGCAATTTGAAGTCGATATTTTAAAAATTGTTTAAAAATTTTTGAACTTGAACATAATTATTGAGAATTGTTATCAAAAATAATAAATTTCAATACGATTTAGTACTTTAGAGGCAGAATGTCGTGCTGTGTAATTATAAAAAATTGTTTAAAAGATAATAAATGATCCGAATTCTGCGTAAAAATATTTCTAAACATTAGAACTTTTATTAGAGGGAGAGTGTTTTAAGTAATTATAAAATTTCTTTAGAAAATAGTAAACGGTCGGAATTTTCCGTAAAAATGTACTTAAATGATAGAACTTTTATAGAAGTCGACATTAGAACTGTGAAAAATCATCCGCATGTCACATTTTCAAGTGTCGAGACATTAAAAATTGACTAAAAATTTTGAATTTTTGAAATATCGATCTGAAATTGCATATGTAGGTTTAACTTGAGCAGAACTCGGGAATTCTTGCTAAAAATAATGATATTCAATTTTGGTACTTTAGAGGGAAGATTGTCGTGTTAGATTCGCAAAGTTAGCACGACATTTGTTCGATTTCCATTTTTTAATATAAGAAATGCAGAACACTTTTTAATTTGCATCAGGACCTGCAAAACTATGAGAAGTGCTATCAGAACTCTTGATATTTTTTTGAAATTCGTAGATTATTGTGTCAGCTTCACAGAAATCTGATTCGTGTTAAAAACCTATTTGAGCGAATTGAACCGCATTCATTCTCTCGACGAGGCGCGGGGACACTTGGACCACATTGCGATAAATCGCGAATCGCGCAAAGTAAACCCATAATGTCGATGTGAGAGAGCTTGCGAAGTGTCGACGGTAAAACCACTTAGGAGTTCAAATGAGAAATTGCTGAACGTTCGGCGGAGTGTGTAAACGACTTTGTCGCTAGTTTATTCTCGCGCCCAGATGCGTGCTACCAGGGACGATATCTAAAATGAGAATTGGTTCTTCGAGCGCGCAAAACCATTATTACACCGAAAGCATTCACATTTGTGATAATCGCGAAATTACGATCGTGAAAATTATCGGTTGAATAATTCTGATGAACGCAATAATATTGCATTGGTAAAAAAAGATAGCGTAATATCATACTATAATAACGCTTCTTCAACAATATTTTTATTTTTATAAACAAGAGTTTATCTAATAAATATATTAATCATAGGATTACGTCAACGAAAGCATTGACATCATTAAGTGCTAATGTATGCTTAATTAGATGTGATTTAATAATATTTTATTTTATGAATAATGAGATTGATAGTTGTAAGTAATTAGTATAATATAATAAAGTAGATGAAAGATTAGAGACTTTATTGTAATTTATTAATTCGTTTTAAAAAATACAGTTTACTAATAATATAATAAATAAGAGGTATATATTTTGAAAAATTCAGAAATATTTTTGATTTTGTTCATTTTAAATTGATCCTTGGTATTGCTTATAATTATGAAAAAAAGTGGAGAAAAATTTGATTTACATTTTCAAAAATATACAGTAAATAAAAATATACTTATATATATATTTTTATTTAGTTCGTATTCTAAAAAAAATATAAATTAAGCCTTTTTTTCTTTTTATATATATATATATATATGTATAAAAGCAAAATGTATTAATTAAATTTTTGATATAAGAAAGATTTATTATATCTTTTATGCATTAATTTAGTAGGCAAGTCTAAGTTTAATTACGCAAGTAATCTTATTATCACAGATTTTGAAAGGATTAAAAACTATGGAATGGCGGATGCTTTGTGACATCGCATTCATTATCCGGCAAACGCTGACAGGTGGGTACAGGCGGTACTTCGCAAACGCACTTAACACATACGGAGCTATAATCTGTAGCTTGATTCAGCTCATCACCGAGATGCATAGTCATGTTACCGAAATCGCAAACGTGGTCATCTGAAAGAAACAGAACCTGAGTTATTTAATTATATAATTATATAATTATATATTATATATTATTATATATAATTGTGCCCTATATATGAGAAAACACATTCTAAGAAAGTACAATTTTTTTCGAGCTTTGTCATATTATAAAGTTACAGCTGGCTCATCCAAATTGGGCAGTATTTAAAAAAAATGCATGTGAATAAATAAAATAAATTTATGAATTTGCTACAAAGTCAAAAGCGTTACGAAAGTACTAATACATGTGCAACATAATTCCCTACGCTTTGTAAACTCATAATGATTAAATTAATGATCATTTTATGGCAACGGAAATTGATTCGCGCTTCTCACTGCTCACATGCAACATTCTCGCAATTAACTCTCATTTCATGCCATTTAAAGCACAGTCGTAATTAGCGTCGCTTGAGTGTTCAAATGCGTATCAATGCATCATTTATATTTTATACAATGTGTTCACTTGTATGCAAATTAAAGTTATGCCAATTCAATAAATGAATTAACACATATGAGATATAAATCTCTACACTTTTGTCGAGTCGATGTATAATAAATAATGAAATGAACGAAAAGAATTAACGAGAGAAGATTGAACGATTTGAATCATTCAAGAATCATTTTATATCTCTTTTATAATAAATGAAGATAAACATACCATTAGAAGTTTTGTTAGCAGATTTTCCATTATCCTCGTTGTGAATGATAGTATCATTAGCATTTTCTAAAAAATAAAAGATAAATTCGAAAAATATCATGTTGCGTAGAAAGCAAAATTGCGTATTGCGAACTTACGACATCTCGAAAATACGCTACAACTGGTCTGTGGTGGTTGACTGGAATAATAAACTGGAGCGCATTTATTAAAAATGTTGCTTGCATCACGAAAATCAGGACTGCAATATGGACGTTTATGTTTCGCGCAGAAAGGTTCGACATTTTCCCCTAAAAAATTTTGGTTCATAATATTTAGATTTTATTACGATTTTAAATTTCAATTAGAAATACATTTGAAGATTATGAATAATTATTGCGATCTATTATGGATATATGAGAATTTAATCATAACTATGACAAGTATGCACGTTTTGTAAATATTTAATTATTATTAAATATTAATAATATAAATATTAAGGTAGTATTTATTATATATATATAAAATCAATATCATATTATATTATATTAATAAATATTTGATTATTACATTATTTTGTAATTAACAAAGTATACGACACAAGTCCTTATAAGTATCATAATATCGATTATATCACGATATCAATTTTATTGAAAATTAGTTATCTGTGCATATTCGTTATAAAGCTTTTTTTATTTACTTTGTATATGAAGTTAATTTATATCGACAATAAAAAAAATAAGAGAATCACTTCTATATATTATAATAAGTGAGCATGATTATGCTCATTGTATGCCTGTGTTAATATGTGTGTGCGCGAATATATTTTATATATAAAATAATTAAAATAGTTAATATATTGAAAAATTTTAACTGAAAATAGTATTTGAAATCATCTTTACCCTTATATCCTTCTTGACATATGCAATTTAAATCTGGATCACTTTCTACATTGAAGTATTCTCCGTCTTTGTATATCTTTCCGTTTACGTTACAGGTAGGCCTTTCTTCAGGACTCTCTGTTATGACGTAAATATTATTTAAATATGTGTTAAGTAAATTTTACGATAGAAGTACTCGCGACAAATGCATTAGTATATGTATTTGTAAATCTAAAACTTAATTATACTGACAAACAATTTTATTTTATAATTTTTAAATAATAAAATTTAAACATATTTAAATAATATAATATTTATACATATATATTAAAATTATATTCGTGATTATAAATGCTAATGAAAAAGTTTATTTTTAATGTTAAAATCGTCAAAAATTTTATAAACAAAAGCAATAGTAAAAAATATTTTACACTTTAAGATACACTAGAAAACATATATATATCTATATTAATCTAATAAAGTGAATCTATATTAGTTATTATTACAATCGCATAAGAGCACAGTTGAGGAAGAATAATTGGTTCGGTGAAATTCAATTCGTGATCTTTTAATATTAATATTTTAATATGCATAATAATTTTAATGTCTTTTAATATTTTAATATATTTCAAGTAGTAATTACGTAAATAGTTAATACAATCGCGGATATATAGAAAATGTATAGCTTTTAAAAAATCACACTTACGACAAATTTGCTCCAGGGGACAACAACTTAACGGAGAACGTTTTCTATAGCAACCAGGGTGTACGAGTCCAAACCAACAATCGACTACGGCGCAATTAAATGCGGCACTGTTAAAAAAATAGCGTAGTTTAAATAAGTAAAAATTTAAAATGTTCTCTCTAAGCGAAACAACTAAGAAAAATATTAAGTCATACTTACATTCCGTCATATCCGCTTGTGCAAGTGCAGGCGATGTCACAAGGATTTGCATCCTCCTCTTTGAGAGATTCTCCGATTTCGTATTCTTTACCGTTGACGTAACACTTGGTCTTGGATCTCTCTTTCAGATGATTACAATTGTATTTCGTCGCGCAACAATCATTCTCTTTTTCGTACACGGGTTTGCAACCGAGAGCTTCGTAATACGCCAATGGGCCCGGACATTTCGTTTTATCGCATTCGTCTTTTCGAAAAAAAGGATCGAAAGAGTTTGATACCAAAAAATGATCATCCCAGATGAAAACAAACTTGCTCTGCGTGCTTCAAATTGCATCACAAAACAATTTCGTGTAGGAATAGGTTGATTTTAAGTGAGGCAGAATTATAGAATAGATTGAATTATTCATGAAATCAAAATGTTAAAGTTAGCATAATTGTAAGATTAGATTGACATTTCGGAAGTACGCTTCGAAAGAAGCATCTCTTCAAATTTCACAAAAAAATTGATAAAAATAAGTTCTTTATTGACAGATTACGGTAAAACCTGAGCATATCAGATATATTTTAATGTATGACTCATTGTATTGTGAAATAAGAATGTTTTGATGATGTAATAAAATGAGTCTTACAAATATAACATATATCTATAGATTTAGTAATTTTGTACATGTTTTTATAATTATGAAGAAACTCACTATTTATTTTATATTTACATTATATTATTCTAATTCGATTTTATTATAAATTCGCAATTTTCAGCTGTATCCTAGGGTCACATTGAAATAGCAAATCGAAAAAAATGATTTCTTAATTGTTACTTCTCACGATTACGCGGTGAATACAATAGTAAAAAAAAAACACTCTCATAATAATCAATCGCATGAGCATCGTCTTCTCCGGTTTATGACTCACCTTGGCCGATTGTGACCGTGACGACGAACGCGAGATAGGCGCATATCTGAATGAAAGAACCACGACGTGTCATGATCGAGAGCGTAAAAACTTTGGTGATATATGTTCGCGCTGCGTCATTTATACTTGGAGTGACCAGTCCATCTGGAAGGGATTGAAAGTGGCCCCGAGAGAGCTGATATATGTAAAACTGACAAAGATGCGATGATGTATTGTGGAAGGAGGAGAAATAATACGCGTATACGTATCGTATGTACGCTGAAGCGAAATGAAACACATGTATGAGAGTCGGGAAATGTCTAAGAGGAGGAAGTGAAGCGAATATGCGCACTAGAGGAGAATGAAAATGAATGCGAAAGAGAATCTGCACAGAGAGAGAAAGAGATGGAAAAAATTTGATGAACAATAAGAAGGAAATGCAGGAAGTACAAAAGATAGAATACTATAAATGAACAAAGGAAAAAAAAAGAAGAATAATTTGTTTTATCAGCCATCACATTGTATATCTATTTAAATTATGTAACTACCATGATGATCAAACAAATTAGCTCTCTTACCTTGAATCTTGTTTTGTGTGTGAATTTCTATTATATAAAATATTTCGTATTTTAATCAATTACAATATTTCCCACTTTGTTAAATCATTCCAAAATTCTCATTTTATCGATAATTCGAATTTTGAAAATTATCAATATAATTATTTATTAATATAGCAGAGCAAATTGCTGCAACTGAAACATTTTCAGTGAATTGAAAATATAGAACTAATGAAAAATTTTTAACGTTATTTAGATGCTATATACGGTACTACAGTTTCTTTTTTAGAAAGTTTTTTTGCCATATATGACATTAAGCAATTCGATATAATTAGTTAATAATTATATGTTTTGTTTTTTTTTCTTAAAAATATTAATTTTTATTACAACTTTAATAATTCTTAGAGATATTAAATAGTTTTATAATATAATTTTGAATCGTCTAAAAAAATAGTATTTTTATTTATGTCAATTAAGAAAATAAAATATGTTTCGTGACATCACATTGGTTATCCAATAGACAATAGCACGTTGCTACAGATCATGAATTAACACAAACTAGCTATATAATTCGTTCACTTTCCGCCAATCTTCATTTTCAAATTATCAAATAAACATACGTCAAATAAACATACGTTCTTTTTTATAAAAAGAAAATGCAATAAATTTTCATATTTTATTGATATATCGGATATTGACATTAAAGATATTAATAAAACATCAATTAATTTATTTAAACAAAATTATCTGTATTTTCTATTTATTAAATTTAGAGTAATAATAAAATTAATAATTATAAAATTAATAATTAATAATTAATCATAAATATTTTTAAATTTGTTATCTTATTTTATGGGATTATAATATATTATTAACGTGCCACAGAAATTAATTTAGCGCGTTGTTCGTTATCCACGTGCAATATTTGTCGCAATTACTTCCTATTTACCGCGATTCATAGCACAGTCGTAATTAGTATCGCTTGAGCGTTCAAACGCATGTGAATACCTCATTTATCTCATACTATATTCGTAATTGCCGAATTGATTCGTATATCGCGTAAATCTCTATTTTAAATATCATTATTTCCTGTTCATAAAATTAGAGAAGAAAAAAAATAAAATCGGATTTTTAAATGCAAATTTGTCTTTCAATTTATGCTAAAATACACAGATATAAATTGTATTTTTCACACATGTATATGAGAAATATTTCAACTACGAACATTTATTTGTGTGATTTAAGATTTAAACACTAACACTCGCTTGCTTAATAAATGATTTAGTATTCGGAAACAGAATAATAGAGATCAATTAATAAAGGAATTAACGTATTACTTTTTGGAAGAATCGTCGTTGAATACGCAGCGAATTAAATCCTATCAATATATTAAACATGCGCTGCAGATATTTTTTAACGGATTGTGATAATACTTTTTTTTTGTTAAGTCGGTATACAATTATGTCACGGATATTACGATATACAATTTTCTCATGGCATTATGCATTTATCGCAAAATAAATAACTTATATGTATAAATAAATTTATAAAATGTAACCATCCTAACCATCCGAATCTTTATATTTCAAATACTTTACTTTTATTTCAAATAGGATTATGAATAATGATAGTGTTCCCTAAAAAATTCGAAACTCGGTATAGTGGGAATAACGCGGCGATGATATGTTTACAACGTTCAAAATTGCTGTCACAAGCATATGGCATCTTGTATTCATGTGATAATGAATAAAATAGTTGCATGTTATACTGGAGCACAGTATTATACCGCACGAAAATAATATTATCTCTCGTTTCTGCTTCACATATTCCTATTAGCAGATGCAATTCGAATATCATGCATTGTACAAAAAATATTCACTATTTTTAATTATATCTATTAATTATAATATCTACTTACATAAATAAATTTGTGTGTCGATTTATCAGGTAGAGCAGAATATTATTTAAATTTATATTATGCGATTTATATATCAATATTAAGTTTATATACTAACAATAAGCAATTGTGTATTTTATTAGTAAATATTTACATTGAATTTTATTCAGAAAAATTTTATCCATTATTCAGCTTTTTACTAAACAATATTAATGTAATAATTGCTTCTATCATCATGAATAATTTATGGCAATCGATTGAGAATGTATATATTAATGACAAACTTCTTGTTTGGGATTTCGTTGAATTTCTCGATCTGTAGCATTTAGATTTTGCTGGAAGTTGTCATTGAACCAATCAATACATTCGCATAAACTACTCCGCATTATTCAACAAGATATTACAGAGTTTAAGTAAAAAGAACCTAATAATTTTGTACTTATGTTCTCTGTAATTATCTATATAATTGATGGGATAAATTTATTATATATTCATTTTTATTTAACTTCATTTTTATTTAACTTTAAATAATATTTAATAAAATGGATTTTCCATTAATTTTGCGTTCAAAATTACGATTATTTATGAGAAACCTCTATGAAGTAAATAAATTTTCCGGTAAATGACGCGCGTGTAAAATAATTTGACAAATAAAATATATTAAAGCAAACGTTAAGCAGCTTTCAAGAAACGACAATAAATCGCACTAAGCGATATTTTATGCTAATATATATATATAAATTCCATGCAAAAGATGAATTATACCTGCATATCTGACACGTGCTATTATGACAGAATAATCCCGAACTGTCGACATGTACGAGAAAATGTGATGTAATTTGAATAATGTGATGCCGTATATGAATCTTTTACTATATCGTACATCATAATATTGAAAGAAAATATACTGCACGACGATTGTCGTATTAAATATTCACAATTGTCACGGCATTTGCAGAAAAATATTGAAGAATCTTGGAGTAAAATGTGAAACGATATGTGAAATTAATAACGCATTTTTGCGCCATGTCTAAAATTGTGCAACAAATAAAATGCTAAACTAAAATAATTTGTTAAAAATAATATGTTCAATTGATAATAAAGATTTCAGAGAATGAATATTATATATTATATGATGAACATTTTAATAGAGGATTTATATATTAAAATAATTTAATTTACTCACGTTTTAAAGTCGTACTTATATTCCGTCGTTAATTCATCCGCGTTTGCAACTAATGTTATGAGGATTCGCGTCTTCAGCCACAAGATTTTTGTCGATATTCATTACCGTTGATGTAACACTTGCTCACTTTCAAATGATCACAGATGTAACTTGTCACGCAAGAGAGTCACCTTGGTTTTCGTATATAAACTTACTACCCAAAAGTCTCATAATATATCGATAGATTCAACATTTCATATTGCATTCCTTTTCACGAAAAAGAAAGAATTGTAAAATCGTGAATTAGAACGATTTTAAGTCCGTCGATATAACAAAACATTAAATTTAGATTAGCTTTAGAATAGCTTAAAAATTTTAAACTTATTTTTCTTCTCACAAGAAAATGAGATATTTTTCTTACAGCTTATTTTGGACAGCCATGATAACGACAATGAAAGCCACGTAGGCATATATCTGACTAACATAAGAGAAAAACACAACGCGACATGATTGAGCACCACGCAAAAGTTTTATCGACTCTAGTGTCCACACTGCATTATTTATACTTCTATTCGCGCCTGCCAGTTGGAAGAGAGATCGGAAATGATTCTAAAAGAAATGATCAACGCACCAATAGGAAAAAGAGAGTGATATGTACAAACATGAGAGATAAAAAAGAAATATCCATGTGAACGAAAAGAAGCATGAATAAAAAAAGAATGAGGAAAAAGTAAAAATAATGCAACAATAATACAATGTAAAATTGATAATGACTATATGAACAACAAGAAAATATAATCATTAAAAATTTCAAATAAAACATGATTAATTTACATTAACGGCTACATTCCCAATTATTATATAAAGTAAAGGATTAATATCTGTTGAGATGTCTTAATTCGAGATCTCTCATATTATTTTTGTATATTTTTTAAAATATTTATGTAAATGTTAAAAATATGTGAATAAAAAGAAAAAAATTATATATGAATTTACAATTTTTCACGTGAAACAAAATTTATTTCATATCAGCTGATACTTTTGTTATGAAACGCTCTAATTCCTCCTCTGCTTTATAACGAATTTTAAAAAATTAAACAAAGTTTGTCCAATTATGCAAGTCATATAATTAAGTAAATCACTCTAACTAAAGCTTTATTAGATAATATTTCGTGTAAATTTCGTATATTTCGGATAAAGTGGATTATCTAGATGGAATATATCATGATATCCAAAATACTACATTACCATCCTGCAAGCAAGCATCAACTAAGCCAAATATTAATACTGTAAACATGATCTCTCTCCTATGTCAAGATTATAATTAATTCTAATAAAGAAATGTGCGAAATTAAATAAACGTGTTAAATGGATAAAAAAGATAAAATAATTTTCTAATAAAATTAATTTATATTTTTATATTTTTCTTACAATTGGTAAAATATCTCTCAAATCGACTATCGTTCAACTATATTCATTGTATCGCTCAAATAGCTATTTGAATACAAATTGATAAGAATAATAGAAGTTTTCTGCACAACTGTTTTTTAAGAATATTTTATCGTATATGGCAATAATTAATTATATCCTATAAGTAATTAATAAGTTTTTTGTATGTTCATAAGATGTTCGTTTTTATTATTATTAAAAGCTGACACAGTGTTTTACAAAGATCTTAAATCGCAAAAAACAAAAATGATTAGAATATTTTAGACATAACGATTAAAAAGCTGGATAATACTTTGTGACATCGCATTCATTATTCGGCAAATGTTGACAAGTTGGTACAGGCGGCACTTCGCAAATACATTTAACACAAATAGAAGTATAATCCGTATCCCTATTTAGCTCGTCGCCAATATGCATTTTCATGTTACCGAACAGACATACATTCTCATCTAAAAAAAGAAATATTGATAATCAATATAGATAATCATATTTTGTAAATTAAAAATATATGAAAATATTTAGATTTTTTATAAATATTTAATTTTAAGTTGAATATCTAATGTTAGAGATTCTTCTAATAGCGTGTCAATTAAACTGATCTAACAAAATTTTCTTACATTTACTAAATTGAAAGTACAGTGATAAAGTTAATTATATTTTAAAATTGCCTCATTTTAGAAGAATTGTAATATTAACATGCTATGGAAATTGATTTAGCGCGTTGTTCGTTACCCGCATGCAATGTTTGTCACAATTACTTCCTATTTGCCATGATTCATAGTGTAGGTGTAATCAGTATCGCTTGAATGTTCAAACGCGTATCAATATCTCATATTTGTCCCACTTTGTCTATATTCGCAATTACCGAATTAATTTGCCGCAAAATAAAAATATCGCGATTAAAGTGAAAAAGACAAAACCAGATTTTTAGTACGAAACAGTGCAAAAGATTAGCCACTCCAGTTAAACTAAAATATACTTTGAATTTGAATTTTATATAAAATATTCCAATTGGATAAAGAATTATTTATTTGAAAATTGTAGCTTTACGAATAAGTTTCAAAAAACAAAGTAATCGAAATTAATTGATAAAAAAATTAATTTACACGTTCTGAAAAAATAATTATAAATTATATTATTATTTGCGTTCCTTGAAAAATATGACAAAGATGCAAATAACACAGCGTAATAAAGTGCTTATTAGCATTTAAAATTGTTCTCGGAAGCATTTTGTGTTGAAATAATAGTTAGCCTGAAGTCATTAAAATCGAACAAATTAAACGCATCGAGGATTAAATCATATTTTGCAACAAATTGCACAAAAAATTTTGTTGTCAAACTGATGTATAGTGCAATATTTCCCGGATATATTTACGTCACAAGATATATTGATAATTAATAACATAATGATAAGTATGAAACGTACCGTCCAAATCTTCGCCAGATTTCAAATCATCATGATTATGAATTACAGTGTCATTAGAATTCTCTGAAAAATACGACAAAATAGATAAGATATGAATAACACGGAAGTAAATACACGAATAAATTGTATGCACTTCTTAAAAATGCGGAAACTTACGGCATCTTGAGCTTAAATGACAATCGATCTGAGGCAATTGATCGTTATAAAACACTGGAGCGCAATTTTGATAAACGTCGTTTGGATTACGGAATTCAGGACTGCAAAATGGACGTTTGGATTTGACACAGAAAGGCTCAATGTTTTTACCTGAAAGTATTAAAGTCCAAATTAAAATCGATACAGATGTATGCAATTTAAAAAAATTTTGATTGACAATTATCTGTGAATTGTAAAAATGTATAAGTTATTAATTAAGTTTATTTAAAAATAATTAAAATATTATATTATACATTTTTACCTTCGTATCCCGGTTGACAGATACAATTCAACTCTGGTTCATTCTTCACTTCGAAATACTCGCCATCTTGATATGTCTTTCCGTCTACAACGCAAGTGGCTCTGTCTTCCGGTTTCTCAGCTGAAATATATAAAGAGTTTTATTTATATATTCATATTATGCGAATATACATATTATTATGAATTATTATTTGCTTAATTCGTATTAAAAAATAATGCATGACTTGTGGAATAAATAATTTACATTCGAGTTTTAATAATAATAAATAAGAAAAAAAAAAATATATATATATATATATATATATATATATATATATATAATATATATATATATAATAATAATAATAAAATATATTAGAATAAGTTTTCTAATTTTGATACAGATAATTTCCATACAATTCATAAATTTCGATTCATAAAATTCAATATATAAATAGACATAAATAATTTATGACATTTAATGAAGAGAATATACTTACGACAAATTTCCTTTCCCTCGTCGCAACATCTTGACAGGTTTGCTCGTTTATAACAACCAGGTTTTATTGGTCCGAAGGCACAATCAACGCCAGCACATATAAATGCAGGACTACTTAAAAAGATTGTGCAATTTGAATAAACAAAATCTTATAATTTTATATTGCCTATAATCTGATTATAATTGATGCGACTTGATATCTTTGCGTTTAAATAAATTTTGTCGAAATAATTTCCATAAATTTCATTAAAGGTACAACCATTTTTAAATATAAACCAAAAATCTAGAAGTATGTAAAAAATCTAGAGTAATGAATGACATGTGAAATTATTTGCAAAAATGCATTAAATGGTTATAAAAAACGAGCGGAAACTAAACGCGATCTTATTAATGTAAAGAAATCCTGTACAAGATGTGAATTATGTCCATATATCTGACACGTGTTGCTATGGTAGAATAATTTTGAACTGTTGAGATGAATGTGATTTAAATAATGTGACATGAATCTTTTATAATATCGAATAAAGATGCGCTGGCTCATTGATATTCGTATTAAATACTTGTTCGTATTAAATGATTGTCACGCGGAATTTATAGAAAGATGGGAAAAGGACTTTTCAGTTAAAATATGAAATGGCTGGAGACAGTGCATTTTTATGATTATTTAATACGTTGTACATTGCATTGTATGACAAATGTTTGTTACATGCATATATATATATATATGCAAGAGCAAAAGAGTAGTTAGAGAATAATTTATAATAGTAATTATATTAATATAACTATTTGTAAATATCGTGTGAAAGTATTATTCTCACTTTTTTCTTACTTTGGTGACCGAATTATATTTCATTGATTTTCGCTGATAAACAATATATATATGTTCCGTTCATGTGTAAGTTATTTACGAGTGCAATGCGTTAAAATGATAATTATGTTAAAAAATCATACTTACACTCCATCATCCCATCCACGTCTACAAGTACACTCGATGTCGCATGGATTCGCATCTTCAGCCTTCAGATCTTCATCGATCTCGTACTCTTTCCCATTAACGTAACACTTGTTCTTAGATCTCTCCTTTAGATGGTCACAATTATATCTTTTCGCGCAACAATCACCTTCTTTTTCGTACACAGGTTTGCAGCGGAGAGACTCGTAATACCTCAATGGTCCCGGACATTTCGTTTTATCGCATTTCTCTTTATAAAAAAAAAAAGAATGGAAAAGATTTGATAAAAAATAATATTGAAAAATAATATTAAAATAATAATTTGATAAAAAATAATGCTGTAGATGGATGATTTACATCACAAATAAATAATTTACTATGTAGAGAATTTTTATTATTAATAGTTCCATCTCAGCGATTTTAAATCTACCGATATAACGACAGATTATTTTGAGATGAAATGAGATAATTATTCCGAAAATAATTAAAAGATTAAATTAAAAGTGGCAGGACAATAAAGTATCGCTTTTTTCTTAGGACTCACCCTGGTCAGCCGTAGCGACGGCGACGAAGAATATCACGCAGACACATATCTGAACAAGAAAAACATAACGCGACATTATCGAGCACGGCGTAAGAACTTCATTGCTCTTTGCCATCCGTGTTGCAGTATTTATTACTTCTGTTCGTTCGCGCTTGCTATTCGGAGAGGGATCGAGATGCGAGAAATGATGATCAATGCACGAATGAAAGACGGAGAGCGGGAAAATAAATACATGTATATGTATGAGAAATAGGAAATATATAAATGAAAAAATAATAAGGAAAGAATAAGGAAAAATAATAAGGAAAGAATAAGAGAAATAGGTAAAATTTAGAAAATAATAAAAAAGCTACAAGTCTATATAAATAAAAAACCAAGTATATAAGTCTATATAAGTGATTTCATTTATATTCGCTTATATAAGTCTATATAAGTGAAAAACCAATATACGCGAAAGTGATAATGCTTTTATTAATGCAGTACATCTACACTCATGTAGAGATTTTACGACGTGCAAAATTTATAAATACTTTCCATATTTTTGCACCAAATATAGCAATTTAACTATATTATTAATTGTTTAAATGATATGTTTCTTAAATATTATTACAGAGAAATTTAATCATGAAATGTAAAGTACCTCGGAAGACATTAAAGCTTCCGATTATGCAATCCACACATTATAAGTATATGAAGGTCCTCATAAAAATTTGCAAAAATTTTTTTAAGGATGCTGAGAAAGATGAATAATTTTTATACGAAATGTTGTTAAGAAAGAAAAATACTCTAAAATATAGATATTTCAATGCATTTATTATTAGATGCTTTAATTAATATACGTTAATATATGTGTGAAAAGAAGTGCCAACATACTGTCATTATCTAAATTTGTTGATAATAGAAAGTAGTTTTCACAGCATACAGCTCGATCAAAATTTTCTTTGTGTTTAAATGTAATACAGAGACTTCAAGAAATTTCTCGTTCTATTAAATATGCAATCAAATTAGGTCTGGTTAATATATTTTTACTTAATATTCTCATAATTGACTATTCAAAACACTTATTCCTCGAATTATTGCACGTTAAAAATCACTACTCAATGCAACAGTATTTTTTCTATTTTTTATTTAATAACTTTTTATTTTTTTAATTATATCTAATTTTTCTAATTTTTTTATTTATATCTTCGAATTATCTAAAGCAAAATTCCATTCAATTTATCGCAGATTTGTACGAATTGTTTAAATTTAATTCTCCAAGAATAAATATTTCTGTTTATAATTTTGTACGCTTTGTACTTGGATAAATGTGGCTATTTCTGTAAGAAAAAAATGGAAAAATTATCTTAATTAAAGGCGATGGAAAACTTTACTTCAAGATTACTCAAAGACAATGTTCCGTAGTGTTAGACGGTGTTCCGCGTAATCAATTTGCGAATAATGATATTAATCAAGCATATAATTCGAGAGAATGAATAATTTATTCTTCATCGTGGAGTCGAGCAAAGTTTGTATATCCGGTTACATAAGTTACATAATTAAGAAGATTGAAATTAATGCTCTCCGTCGAGGAATGTACACTTTAGATGAATTATGGAATTATCTGGATCGAATATCGCGATGTGTCCGAAACATGCATCATCATTTTGCAAACAAACAGCGACTACAAAACAAGTATTAATACCGCGAACGTGATCTCCCATGCGGCAGAATAATAATTATTCGGACGAAGAAACGTGCGAAATCGAGTGAACGTGTCAAATAAACTTAAAGATGGCATGATATTGTAATAACATATTGTCAATTTATATAGGATGTCAGGACAATCTCTTCCCCAAAAAAGCTCTTGTAGCTTACCTCGAGAGCTTTTCAAAACACAATAATAAAGCATTTTTTCACCGAGTACTTTTTGAGTTCTGAGGCTTGAAATAATCTCTTAAATTTACATAAACCATAAAATATCTAGTAAAATATTCATTTTATCTTACCTTAATATTTTTATGTACAAAATAATGAGAGGAATCAATTGGTATAAAGAAAACACATAATTGTTTCGAAAAAAAATGTAATTGTTAATTGCAAATTACATATTTTTTCTTCGAAACAATTATGTGTTTTCTTTACACCGATCGATTCCTCTCATTATTTTGTACATAAAAGTATTAAGGTAAGATAATCGAATAATGAATATTTTACTAGATATATATTTTATGGTTTATGTAAAAATTAAGAAATTATTTCAAGCCTCATAACTCGAAAAGTACTCGATGAAAAAACACTTTATTATAGTATATCGTTTCAATAAAGTGTGTCGAGCTGCAATGACAAATCAACAATTGACACGTGATGCTCTCTCGGATGATGAGAGATGAATTCTTCATTCGGACGTTCAAGATGCAACACCATTAAACGCGTTACTGCGTAAATCACCCGGGCGGTACTAGGGCACAGAATTGGCTCATAACTACGAATTTACTACATTTTGGCCGACAGTACGTTACACGTACCCGGGTCCCGAATGTTCGCCATTACACTCGGTTATAGCGGCTCGACCGATGTAAGCCGAATAAGTTCGTCCGCTCGGGAAACTGATTTATCGCGTTCGAGGGATTGGATCGTTAGTCTTATCCCTGTAAAACTAATGACTCAATCTCGATCGTTCCCCTGCCGACTGCCGGATTTATCGACCTGCGGATCGCGTACGATCGTGCGGAATATTTCCGCGGCTGGGGCGAATGCAAATTCGCCTCGAAAATCGCGAGATTTCTCGAATCAGCGAGAATCTTATCGCGAACGCGCAGCACTCTTGCTCGGTGATCCGAAAGAAAATGGTCTGCATAAATATCGGATTAATAACGTCGCTCTTTTTTACACGAGGACGATTGACACAGAAATTTCGGGTTTCAGCTAAAAAACAATTAACAATAATGAAGTGATGTCGTCGATTAATAAAACATGAGCTGAACATTTAAGTAACTTTGTCAAATTTATACATATGTACTTTATATTTTTTATTATTAATTCTTCATCCTTGATTAATTATTATAATTAAACATTCTTAATTCTAGTAAATTTTAAAAAATATATATAATACAATTTTTTTTAATTTACTAGAATTAAGAATATTTAATTATAATAATTAATCAACGATGAAAAATTATATAAAGCAACGATATAAACTTAATATAAAATCATATTTACTCAATTAATCTTTGGTATAAACTAAAAATTTATCTTTCTCTAAGCATAACATTTATTCAAAAAATGATGAGCATATCACTCTGAGATAACAAGAACCTTGAACTAAGGTCAATTATATGTCGCCTTCATTATCTATTGCGATATTTTTCACAGTTTCAAGTGTAAGACGCTAAAACATAAATTTCGAATGAAGTTTATCGTTGCTCAATGCATATGCGTTATTTATAATACACATGTATTATTTGTACTGAGAAAATAAAGCGAAGTGCATTCTAATGTTCTTCATTACTTTAATATATTTTACAAACATGAAGTAGCCGGAGTTTAATCTTTAATTTAATCTTTATTAACACGAGACGGGAGTCATGAATTTACACTTTTTTAATAATTCAATACATCTTGTTTTCGGCGTAGAATTAATTAATTATTAATCAAAGAACATATTTTATAATTAATAACGTAATATCTCAAGAGACAAACAAATGTTGGGGATATATTAATTAAAAGTTGCGAAAAATATTTGAAAAATTTTATTATTCACAATTCAAACATAATTATTTCACAATCAACAAAGAAAGAAAATTCATAATAAATAACTAAAGAACAAAATAGCTAATATAACATATATGATAAATCCAAATTGTTGAATGAATAATAATAATATCTTTATAGAACAAATTAAATATTAAGAATATGAGAGACATGTCTATAAAAGAAGCTTATAAAGGATAACAAATCAAATATATTATAGATTTCTAGAGATAGAAAGATTTACGGATAGTCAATGTGATGAGAGAAGAAGTTGCGAGTAATATTAGATTCAACATCGATATAAAAGAGGCAAAATACACTGGCAAAAGCTATACTTCTCCCATAAAAATAAGGTAAATCGAAAACAGCTCAAATATGCACAAGGTGATGAAACTTGAAAACGGCTGTCAGCAACTTGAAGTTCTCGATGCAAAGAGTTTTTGCAAACGGCGTACGATCTCATTTCCGAGTGAACGCTTTCGAATCATCGTCAAGTATCACAGTTTTCTTTAGTTGTAAACGATTTATTGCGCGCATACAACAAAATATCTAAAGAGTAAAAAGCACGAGTCCGAGTTGAAACTACCAGCTTCTCGCTGTAAATATTCGTGAATATACGCAAAAAATATGTTAAATGCTGCATTAAAAAAAATTTAGTTATGACCGTAAAAACGTACCGTAATTATAACCGTATTACGGCATATTTTGTAACCATAATTAAAGCTCGTGGATAAAAACTGTGATAAATAAGTGAGAAGACTGTTGCATACAGATTTATATTTATATTGAAGTTCTCTCAACTCCAAATGTATGCATTATTGATAGAGATGGAATTCGATAATTTGAGAAATAGCGTGAGTGAAAAAGAAATATAAATATGACTTAAATTTTCAAATTACTCGGAATTTACCGAAGTGTACGACACACAGCCAACGTCATGTCTCGATAAAAGTTAACTATAAATACGAGTCTCTCGCTCATAAATATAAGAGCTCGCATACTCTTATGTTTATCGATATTGCGAGCGCTTGCATTTAAATATTTAAAAAATAAGGAGACGAGAAAAAAGTTTGCGTAGAATATTACAAGAAAGCCGTGACGTCTTACGTGACGAAAATTGTGCGAGAGAATTTAAAGCCTCGCTCCTCGTTACCACGCGCTCTTCAAGATATCATGTCGTCATATTTTAGAATATTGTATAATGCAACCGGTTGAGAGGCTGAAGAACGCGACGGCCAAAACGACGACGACTAACATAAATTCGGTCAACTTAACGTTGCAACACTTTACTCTCTTAGTACCATCTCTCTCTCTCTCCTCCCTTCTCCCTTTTCCTCGGTCGTTCTTCCCTCCAGCACCTCGACGAGACCCGCTTCCTAGGAACTTGCGAAATTCCACGGTAAGCGCTGCACAAATTCTCGGGGGCGATATCGCGTCGTAAGAAAGTTCAAGTC